GGATATTATCAGGTCCTGCAGTGGAGTTTTTTTAGGTGGAAAGAGCATGTAGTAGTTCTTGCAGTGAGAAGGGAGTGTTGAGGAGATCAGAATCATTTAAATTAGTTTCAGTGGAAGAAAGGGATGGGTTGTCAGGTAAGGGTTGTCTTAGCTTGTTCATGAGTTTATTAACTGACTTTTGATAAAAGAGATCACCGAAGATATCAAATGCCTTCATAAACAAGTGCAAACTTTACGGTTCACAAATGGTGCGAAAAGGGCACTGTGAATATTGAATCGATTAGACTCAACTTCTGGCATTGCATATTATATGGCTAAAGCTATGCGCATATTGAATTTAATGCAATTTGGTTTATAACTGACGGAGATGTCAAAAGGGCCTTCCTTATTTGTGGGCGTAACGAATTCGACAATTCACAGCAAATGAAAAATTCGAGTTACTGAAAAAACAATTGTGCGATTAATAAAATAATTCCTAGGGAAGTTTTTTTTCACAAATTGCTTCTTTTTATCATTACAAACGGCTCCATAAAAATTTGAAGACAGAATTGGAATCTCTAGTCAAAGGTCGTCGTTTTAAAGTATCGTGCAAAACCGTACAAAAATGACGGGGTGTTTCCGAAAGTAAAGATAATGTCCCAAATACATCCAGGCACATTATTAACATTCGATAAGAAAATTTTTTTTTCGGGTCGATCTGAGACAATTTTTTTTTCGGGGCTCAAAAATCGACTGCGCCAAAATTTCTCGAGAAAACACTTTTTCTTATTAATTTTGGTGCGTAGAATCCAAAATAATTCGTACTTTTTCGATCAGACTACTCAATCAAAAGTTATGGACTAGAAACCAATTTCGAAAAAAAATTCAAAGGGCTGTAACTTTTGAACTAGGAGCCCAATCTTGGAACTGTTTGAAATTATGGATTCTACGGGCCACATTCTATAAGAAAATTTTTTTCCGGGTCGATCTGAGACAATTTTTTTTTCGGGGCTCAAAAAAAGGCAGTCCTTCCTTTTTTACCAAAAAACGATTGCACCAAAATTTCTCGGGAAAACACCTTTTCTTATTAATTTTGGTGCGTAGAATCCAAAACAATTCGTACTTTTTCGATCGACTTCTCAATCAAAAGTTATGGACTAGAAACCAATTTCGAAAGAAAATTCAAAGGGCTGTAACTTTTGAACTAGTAGCCCAATCTTGGAACTGTTTGAAATTATGGATTCTACAGGCCACATTCTATAAGAAATTTTTTTTCCGGATCGATCTGAGACAATTTTTTTTTCGAGGCTCAAAAAAAGGCAGTGTATAACCTTCCTTTTTTTACCAAAAATCGACTGCACCAAAATTTCTCGGGAAAACACTTTTTCTTATTAATTTTGGTGAGTAGAATCCAAAACAATTCGTACCTTTTCGATCGGACTTCTCAATCAAAAGTTATGGACCAAAAGAATGAATAGCAGTGGTACAATTACACTTCCTTGTGCGATGCCCATGGTAGTATAGAGTGTACTTGATTCCCTTATGACTGCTTCTCACCTTACACCTATACAAACAGATGTGGGATTAAATTATAGCAAATTTGGTCTGCTTTGAAAACTTATTGAACCGTTATTGGCGAAAAACTGGTCCTTCAGGGTTAAAATCGTCAAAATCTGAAAAGAAAACGAAAATTCCTCGGTTTTTAGTATATTTGACTATGTTGCGTTCGCCGCTCGATGTCGAAAACTTGAATTATACATTGGGTTAACAACATAAGCAATCCCACAAAAAATCAGAACTACCGGATTTGACGCATGGTCTGATGTATATAGTTACTGGACTATATAATAGATAATGAAAAACGTTTTTAATCAGTGTGAGACCTCGTTAAAATGTATCATCCTTTTACGAAAAACAGTTGTCTTTCGAACCAAAAAAACGGGACTATTTTTGCGCACTGACTACTTAAAATGGAATCCTTAATAAAATTAGTAGGGCTTGATTATGGTCTGAAGTCAGCATATAGATAGCTTATAATTATTTATAACATCTCTCATTTTCATCAATTACTGGAATTCTACTGCTATATAAATATATTATAAATTAATTTTTAAATTTAGATAACAGAATACAAGCAACATAGCTACTACTTTTTACAGTTACCTAATGCAACAATAAAATAAGGCTGATCCTGATTCTGTGTATAAAATATGGATTAAGTTGCAATAGTTTCTTATTGCTGAAATATCGCCCGCAACGAAAGAACTAATGATGACGCTAGTAGGTACTTTAAGTAAGGTGTACCCAATAATAACATAATTATGTTAGATTATACTCTGTTTACGTTGTGGGATAACTAGCAGAACTATTACCTATTGAAAGTTTAATTTTCACTGCTGCTTGGCAAATAATTAATAAAGCAAAAGCAATGACAAATGAAGGTACCGGTTGTAGACCCTAATAAGCGCACCTTTACTTTCAATATATCTTGGCATAATATTTCACACTCTGGACGGTGGTCATCTGTTTCTAAATTCCCGAGGGACGCCCGGGATTAGCCGCCAGGAAATGGACGTATTAAATTTCCGGTAGTTTGCATCACCTGCCTGAGATGCAGGAAGGCTCACAAATGAGCTCAGATTACGGAATAATATATTAGGGCACTTAGATCTATCTTTTTCAAACAATCGGGATCTGAACAAGGTTTAAATGTCAAATATAAGATCTGCAAACTTAGTCAAGAATGTACCGACTAAATACTAAAACACTGAAGATTTCTTACATTAGGATATAGCTAGAGTCATGTTTGTTTTGTGTTGTTTTTAGACTAATCATAGGAAAATGCAACCAACCTTAATTTAAATATTTATTTTATTTAAATTGAAGAGAAGCTTACTAATAACTATAAAACTATTGAAAATGCTAAAAAGGGTAATGGCGTGTACATCACAGTTTTATAGCTTAGCTTTGCGCAAATCTTCACTTACGTGCCTGTCTGCCACTTTATACTACCGGACATTATAGTTTATCCTAAGGAATGTGTGCGAGTGAAAACATTCATTGCACATTTACTTTTAACTTCGAACGCAACGATTTAAAATTGAATTTATTCCATTAATAATTTACATCCAACATTGTACCTACAAACGATTAAAAAAGTCAGTGTTAATGGCAGTCGCCAAATAGAGACTTTAGGCAAGTTAATAAGTACCTCCTACGCGTCGTTTCTAAAGGATATTTAACTATTGCAAGCATTCTTTCACATGTTTTATCTGCCATTTTGATTTGTTAACGAATGTTTGAAGTCTGTACGTACAATATAATATATGTATACGTTTGTCTTTGAAAAGAGAAAATTGTGTTAGCACTTGACAAAGAAAATAAAACCAGGATGCAATCCATATGATGTTACTTCGCACAATCTTTTTCGTCTTTAACGGCTTGTATTTCTACTACCTACTAATTTTGCCACAAAAAGATTCCGATGTCTTCACCAAAACTAAACCTGCCATAATCTTTCATTAATTACAGAAATTATCATAAACTTAATATTGCAAGAAATATGATGTAATTAATTCAGAGATATTTTTCTCCAATTAAACATGTTACTATAAATGAATGCAAAGAAAGAACAACACAAACTTCGTACGAAAGAAAGGGATGGCGGTGTAATTGTTACGAAATGTTCAGATTATAAAAGGAAACGTTCAAAATTTAACAGTTAATTCTGAAAAAAATGTCAAGGAAGATATGAGATATACACCATGGTGTGTATACCTAAAATTAAAATTTATATGTCACACTAAATTAATTCAGATAGTATCCGTTATTCGATTAAATTTCTAATCTACTATTCGAATAATCTGTAAATTTCTTGTTTTTTTCCTTATAATAAAAATGTTTGATAAATTTTAATAGTCGAAAGGAAATTTGATAAAACATTAGTAAAATAATCCTTATTTGAGCCAAAACCCATAAAATACGGATTGGTCACAAAGTGACTATTTACATGCTGTTTTATGTATTTTACAACTGTTTCTTTTAAAATCAATTTGCTATTGGTTAAGCGATGCTCCCTATAGGCATTTTGCACAAGTAGAGGGAGCGCGGGGAAACATTTTTAAGCTTGTAGTACCTAATTTTTATTACACACTGGCAATATAAATTAGATTGTATCAATTTTTCCTTCTCTCTTTGCACTTTGGTACAGGTACAGCGATCCTGCAAAACACTATTTAATGTAGGTATTTCAATCCCTACAGAAAAAATATATAAAGTACTAATTCTACAGGTAGTGTTCAAAAGAAAAAGGATTCTTGGAAGAAGGTTCGAATTAACCCTGAGAACTAGTTAGTTTAAGTCGAGGTTTAAGTATAGTTGACGTCCGTATAGATTCCTTGAAATAATTATTTCCTGTAGTTTATAAATTAAATCAGGAAACGATGACTGGGAGTACAACAAATCTTGGTCCATTTAATCAGTACATACAGACGGAAAACAATTATATTCATTAAAAGTTGAAAAAGTCCAAAAAACGATGATCGTAGTAGCCACCTAATTCAAACTAGGAAGCTAATATTTCATATTCTATGCGTAGTAAAGGCATTACGTATTACGTCGAACATTTTTTGTGTACAACTTTAAAAGAATTATACAACGGCGTAGTTTAAAAGTTCTCAACAAAGACTCTTGATTATTATCGTATTAGTATAACTTTAGCATTGATACGAATCTCATTAGACATGCAGAGTCATCGCTCATTGAATTGTAAATTGTTACTGTAAGCCTCACAAGTTGTAGAATATTGGAACCCTCCAGTTAAGGTATTTTTATGATTCCCTTTTGCCAATTTTACTGTTTAATTTCTATTTATTTTGCCCAAAAAGTGTGGAAAACTCAAAAAAATAATACGAGCAGTAATTTTAATCCAACCATCAGAAAATTACGGATTTTCGCAAACCAAAAGAAAGAATCTAACCTAATATTCACATGAAAAATAGGCAAAATACAATTGAACTCACCAATTTTCCAACTTTTTCACATCACAAAATTTTTTCTGAGATTTAAAATAAAATATCTGCACTTAATTTAGATAAAATTTTATCATAACCTAACTAGTTAATTGTTTATCTCGTATAGTTGGAAAACACTTTATGCACTATTTTATTGGGAGTCAGTTCGGAACCACTTGCCCACACATTCTACTGGCATACCACAACAACAACAAGTAGAAACCTACCGGTTATGTCGACAGTGGCAGTTTTCAGTAGTTCGACCGAAACGACGCATAGATTTCATCGAACTGATATTATAACTTGGTAGAAGAGGGCGGCACTAGTTTAATTCTTATCACTATATCTTGGATTCCTGTTTACCAATCGATAATTTTGATGATGCGTAGATATTACGCACTAACTATGTCAGTTTTGTTTCAAAATTTAATTTCGTTATTTCACTTTGATATACATTTTTTGTAATTTTTATATTGGTCAGTTTTCTTTTACAAAATAAATCGAACGTACCTAAATTTTTTTTTATATCATAAAACAAAAAAAAATTCTGGCATGCGCTGTTTATGCAAGGATAGTACGGGTTACAAGAAAAAGAATACGCTGATGAAAGCATCGAAATGACTCGATTTTATAACAAAAATGTTGGAAATTGTGGCGTAAGTGTGAATAAAGAGATTAGTGATTGAATTGAAATGTAAAAGAGCCCCCCTCGAATCTAGGCACTTTTCAAATATTCATTCTGAACGATCCGTTTCGTCTTCATTCAGTGCATATTATTATAATAAAAAACCTAGGGGGTAGTGTATTTTTTTCAAACGGCGCTTTTATTAACAACTCGTTCACTCTGTATCTTATTTTATCCCACGCCTAAAATTATGTTGATTTCGTGTAAGATAGCGTTGTACTGCTGTATCTGTATACATATATGTTACAGTAGATATGCAATGCAACTTAAAACCCTCTGCAGAGGCGCCTCTAAAAAGCAGTATACGGGTCACTCTGTAGTCTGTAATTGTGCGCAACCCTGTTGAGGGCACAGAACACGAGAGGGATAATAAATAAATAAATATGCGTTGCGTAACAGTCTGGTTTCCAGTTTGTATTAAACGCGGATAGGTTATTCATGTTCATATACAAAATATGCGCCTTTTAATATAACCTTAGTAGATATTTCATCATTCCTAGACAAAATTTAGAGCACTTGACGGACAAGTATGTCCTCTGTATGTAGTACCCTCAGTTTGATTATGTATATTCGCTTAAAAGCTACACATAAATATAGTATAACCTCGAGTATAACATAATATTTTTTGTACTCCGTACACTAAATGGACGTGTTTGTCTTCCATTTACGGGACTAAACTGTGATTTTTCTTCACCACAACTTTATATTAGAGAGATCTCTACATACGACTCTTAGTTATAAAAGATAGGGTATCCATTTATACAATTTTATTAAAATATATAGAAATTTCATAATTCTTCAAAATATACGAAACTTTGAAAGTCTAAGTATATATTTTTTAATAAAAATTTGTGCATAATTATATGGATTTCTGATAACAATATTTTGAACCTTTATTTATTTATTTTATTTATTGGGCGTGTTTAACTGCTTTGGTCATAATTACGCCTATAAATTGATCATACAGGGTGACAATTTGAAAACTTACCACCCCCCATATCTTAGTAAATAAACGAGATATTCAAAAAAATCAAAATCCGTTTCGGTAATTCGGAGGGGGAATCACAATGACATAGTTGGCGACGCACCCCCTCACACCCCCTGCGCCCTAGCCACCCCAACTTTTAAATCTTAAATAGTGACTCCCCATGTGTGATACGTCATTGGAAAGCTCTGCAAAAATGCTTTCCAACCATACCAAATAGCATTACATTTAGGTTAGTAATTATCGTGCAAATCAAAAAATAAGCATGGAAAATCGTATTTAACTTGAACTTCCAAAGCCGACTTGACAGCAACTCATTTTTGATCGCCAGTTATAATCTATTCTCAAACTCTTGTCGAACCTTTCCAATGTTGGTTTTGCAATATTTCGACATTCTTGAATTATTCTCTGTCTTAGTTCGTCTATGTTCGCCGGTTGCGTTGTAAAAATGACAGATTTCAAATGTATCATATTAGTTTATTTTTTGATTTGCACGATAATTACTAACCTAAATGTAATGCTATTTGGTATGGTTGGAAAGCATTTTTTCAGAGCTTTCCAACGACGTATCACACATGGGGGGTCACTATTTAAGATTTAAAAGTTGGGGTGGCTGGGGCGCAGGGGGTTGGAGGGGGTGCGTCGCCAACTATGTCATTGTGATTCCCCCTTCGACTTACCGAAACGGATTTTGATTTTTTTAAATATCTCGTTTATTTACTAAGATATGGGGGGTGGTAAGTTTTCAAATTGTCACCCTGTATGTACTTTACATTTGACATAGTGTTACATAAATATAATTGGAGTTACATCAGAGTGTAATTCGATTAGGTACTCTATGAAGATTTGAGATTTTTAAGAAGTTTACTAAATTATACACATTCTCTTGTTATGCATCTTCGAGTTCTTTTAGAATTCAGGTAGATTTCTTCTACCTATTGTAATGGTACCAGTATGTTGATAGGTTAATGTTAAATTATGTATAGGCCTATAGGTTTATAAATATATCACTTCCAACAAACTCTCTAACCTTCGTAATTATGAACCGATTTCGGCCAAACTTTAAAGGTTGGTGTAACTCATAAACTCATACACACCATATTGGAATAAAATGGCGGACACTTTTATTGGAATCTACCTACACCGGGTCGGCCGAGCCTATAAAGGAACTATTTCTGTAATTTGAAGATTATAGTTTTCATTTTTAAAAAGATATGAATGGAAAACTAAGAAACCAACCAAATTTCGGCAGTTTTAGGGGTGGTACGGGGGCAGCACACCAAATTTATGTTGGGACCAGTAATTGAACCACAACGCCAAACCCCTAATCTATTTATTTACCAAGGACATCAATAAGGGTAGGTTATCGCTATTGCTCCTAGGATCTTTAATTCTCTACCCTAGTTCTGGCATTATCAATCTATTACCCACAACTTACATATTCTTAAACTGTGTTGCAGGTTGCCCAAATTACACGTTTTGTAATATTAATGATGGTAAGAAATTATATATAATAAAATAAACCTGTCTAGTCTAAGACAATGCAACTATTTCCTTTACATTCCAAATTGATGCACAAACATGATAACATATATCTTTGTTTGTATGGTACGTAAAGGGTGTTTCTCTTCCACCAATTACAGATTTCCCTGTGGACTTTAATGATTAAATAAAATGAAAATGAATTTTGTTTCACTACATCAATTTATTTAAATTCTTAAGGGAATATGAATATGATAAATCGGTATATCGATTTATTTCCGGTTTCCCTAAAAGACGCTGTATAAATGTTGACGCTGGTAAACGATTTGCAATAAATCAGGCTTAGCTGTGCATCATACGGTATTTACACCAGTTTTAAAAGGAAAAAATCTCATATTTCATTCCTTTAGGACTAGAACGAAGAGGAGGTGAAGACGTGAAGAGCTTCTTCCGATGAAAGAATATTGAATACTTATAAAAGAATTTAATTTGATCCTTTAAAGTTATATGAAACATTTTCTGTTAAAAACTCAAAGTAATTCAATTGCCTTTATAAGTTTCCACAAAGTGGAAAGCTTTTTCTTCTCTCCGATACAAGTTGAAAATTGTGCTCAAACAAGTTTGATACAGAAATTTCTCCGCTCAAACTTAACTAACCCTTTGTCGTCGCTGAACAATCTAAAAGGAGCGTTACATATATAGGATTAGTCACAATAAAATTATTGTCTCAGTTAATGGAATTTTCTTGTCACAGGGTTAACTAAACTCCCATTTGTAATATGATCCTCAAGATGCAGAACTCTGTGCTTTCGTTCATTCTCTTGCTATTAGTTTAATACTTGCAAGGGATTCCAGCTGTTGTCAACCGTTTGAGACGCTTCCCTTCTAGAGGAAATTCGCTCCTTAAAATTGAACGAATATTACCAAAAAGGGCGAAGTGTGTATGTTCTATCTGTTAAGCTACCAATTTAACGTTAATGAAGATAAAATCACTGGTGAAATACACTTTCCGTAGCCTTTATCCTGTATGATAAATTGCATAACCGTTTATGTTACAATCCTAAAATACGCGGAAATAGCCAGAGGCCACTGTAGATTACCAGTTATATTATACGGTTTCTCATTTAAATCCGGGAATATTCGTATTTAATCCAATGAATGCCTCAGTTTATATAACTGGAGGGAACATTAAGTTGCCTGGGTGGTTCGCTAATTTCAATTAATTTTATTAATATTTACTTAACGATAGCGAATCAAGTAATTAGTATTTTGAATACATTTATGTTTATTATAGAATCTACAACTGAAAGCAATACAAAATTGTAAACTAAATTTATGGTCAGATTTCGATTGTGCCCCTTTAGTTAGATTAATTTATTGGCAGAAGCTCCGGATTAATTTAAAATCCTAACGGATAATTTATTACCACCGCAAGGAGAATAATTTTGGTTAGACACAAAAGAATGAAAACTTCTGGAAAACTGAAATTAATTACTATTTGGCACCTCTAGAGATTCGTAAAAATGTTTCTTTGGAGAAATGGATTGTAGGGCTGTGATTAATTAAAATTATATCACGAAAGATTTGCTTTAAGTGTAGGCAAATAAAACATTGTGCCTCCTTTTACCATTTGTAGGCGGGTCGGTTTTCCATTATCAAAATATTCCTCTCGAACCTAAAATTGACGTGTCGTTTAACAAAAACGCCACCCTGTATAAATGTAGAAGGTAATGAATACTAAGTTTTCATAAAATTTAATGAATTTTAAACTCAGGTTCAAAAGGTACGCTTGAGCATTGATATTTATGATGTAGTTCTGCACAACAAATCAGCAGTTTACCTAGTCTTTGGACATAAGACACTACCCGCGAACATTTCAGATAGAAAAGTGTGCAGAAAGTAAATCTTTCTTGAAATAGTTATGGGGGATAATTTCTAAGAATTAGAACGTGGGTTGAAAATATTGCTAAGCTGCCGGCGGAATTATGTAAGACGTTTCCTAACAAAATACATCTAGTTAGTAACATTTTCCCCATAATTACTTTTGATATATCGATATTGCTACCATTATAATAATAGTTGTTAGTAACTCATTATTTGTAGTTAATTATTTTTTCCACTCAATTCCAGCCAGAGGCACGAACAAAGTAGTTTATATTTAAATTTAGACCATTTAACGAAAATCTTTGCATATCTCTCTCCCCTACGTACCATTCTACCTCAGCTCTATTCCGAAATGAGCAGGGGTTGCAGTATAATACGAAACAGTTTATATGCATTGTACTTTATACACACCCCGACGCGACGTCTTGTTTGCTATCTATCGTTAACAGCCCTCTGAGGTTTAGATTTCTGCATAAATTCTTTCGCAACATCATCGACCGTCGCCCAACCACCTAAAAAAAATTACCTACGTATAAAATTGGCGTTACCATTGAACCTGCTTGCGGAATAACGTAATATATTCAAAAGTAGTTGAAATAAATCAGAAGGATTTTCGAAAACGAATTGAATATCCATTAATCCGAAGAATACGGTCTATCAAGTGTGCGAGTAAATGGCAGTCGTAAATCTGATTGCACATTTAAAATCGAGATTGAATTTCTGTAAAATATACTGAAAACGGCAAAGGAGAAATTGATTTAGATTAGCATATTCAAAAAGCTAATGAAATGTCCTTTGCAGATATGTCAACAATGAACTAAATCTTTAGATCGATTACCGTAACTATAATTATTACATCTTTCCAACGGGACTAAGTATTACCATAGAGGAAATTTTCCTCTATGCCTATGGTACTTAAGCTTAGAAAATAGTTTCCCATGTTAATATTCTCAACTTAAGCACGATTATGAAACATTTTCTTTAAATTTAAAAAACGATATGAAAACTAGCAAGAGTAACTATTATTTAAACTTGTTTAATGCGCATAAAAATGACACAAAGAGGCAGTGGCAGATTATCAATAACATCTTGGGCGTTAACGAAAAAATACTACACTTCATTGCGTACACGAATTTGAGCAACCTACCATTATGCTAACAAACCCTCTTAGCATAACAAGAAAATTTAACATGTTTTTTTTAAAACGCTGTGGTTAATCTGAGGAACGGTTTGGATACAGTTGATGATTATGTTCTAAATGAATACAAAAAACTATTTCCTTGTGATCATTATGAAAAATCATTTTTCCTTTTACCAACATGGAAAGAAGAAGTTAGTTGTATAATCACCAAGTTAAATCCTAATAAGGTTCCTGGACTGGATGGAATATCTGCATATGTGGAAAAAAATGTTAATGATATAATTAGTCCAGTTTTATCAAAAATAATTAACCTAAGCCTGCAGAGCGGCGAATTTCCAGACAGTTTGAAAAACGCCGTTGTATAACTTTTGTTTCGATTTTTGATTGGAATTTCTTCAGAACAATCACATTGCACCGCTTGCATTTACTACTTCGATTCGTAGTTTGTACAAACTTATAATATAAAAATGAACGGGCAAAATTCACGAACAATATTATGTTAAACCCAGTCAGTAACAAACAAGACTTAAAATTCCAAATTATGTACCTATGTATATACTATGTAGTAATAAGAAATAAATGTATTGTTACAGGTATTTTCCATTTCATATTTAAGTTAGTTGTGAATTTACGCTGCTATCTTAAGTGCATTTTCATGAATTTTTAATTAAAACCTAATTTTGTTATATATCCACTCTTATTTTAACGGTATTTTTGGGTAACAAATTTAATCGTTATTAAACGATGCGGTTATCTCTGTAATTACTTCAAAGAAATCTTAATTAGGTAGTTAAATCTTTTTTGGAGTATAAATAAAATGGGCGATCTTGAAAATTTCAGTAGAATCTCGTATTCCCGAGGCATCATGAAGTTAATTGTTTTAGTCTGTTTAGTGATTGTCGTAGTATACGCGAAAGATGAACCTCCGTATACTACGAAGTACGACGACATTGACGTAGACGAAATTTTGGCTAACAAGAGATTAACCTTGTACTACGCCGACTGCCTTTTAGGCAAAGGAAAGTGTAATGATCAAGGACAAACGTTAAAGGATATAGTACCAGACGCCTTGAATAATGAGTGCAAACGTTGCAGTGAAAAGCAAAAGGAGGCAACTGAAAAGGTTCTTCGTTACCTTGCCAAGCATTACCGTGACATTTGGAATTCTCTTATTGCTCATTTCGACAAGGATGGAAAACATCGTGACCAGTACAAAAAGTACATCGATGAAATGGAGGCTGCATAAGGTTTTGGGTATCTGTAACCATCACTTTTTCTATACAAATGGTCATAACAAATTTGTTTTGTATTAAATAACCTGTTTCAAATTAGATTTGCTTATTTTGTGTGTAATAATAATCAGTAATCACGATAGTATTTAAGTGGAAATATACTTCACATTACCACAGATTACGTATAGGGTAATCTGTGACATTACTGAATCATCCTCATGTTTCCAGGTCTACCTTCTGACCTTTATTTAAGCGTAATGGTTTATATAATAGTCACGAGATATGGATCGGTTTAAGACGAAGTTTCAATTCCCAAATGAAAGTAAAACTACATGGCCAATTTAATGGGGGTTCCCTCTTAAGGGCTGATGGATAATGTTTCATGTCATTATAAATTAAGCTCGAACTTTAGAACATATCTGCAGGAAGTTACATGGTTACGGTGGCCGGTTGGATTTAACTCGACACCTTCACGAGACATACTTTAATAACGGTCTAGTAAGAGTCGCCCTTGTTTTATTAAAACTGTCTGGCAAATATAACTCGTCGTTGGCAGTATCTCATCCCTGCATTGGCTTGGTATATGAAGAGAAAAAATATATTGTATTAAAACTAATGTAGCGAGGCTGCAGTGCAGAGTACATATTTCGTTTCTTGGCAGTTCGAAATGGCCGAACAGGGAAATATCTCATCCTTAGTACACGTAAGGATTGTTAACAGTAGACTCCCAATTTCATTTTACCCTCTGGTTCCTACTTTATAGCACGCTAACCTACGAAATGCCGTTGTTGAGTTCCTGAACACGTACTTAAGTTATGCGTTTACAACTGCTTGCACATAAAATAGCAATCGCGAAGCAAAACGTAATTATTAAATTTATAAAAACGAATAAAAAGAGATGGTCTAGTAAAAATTTTCATTGACCCTCTCGCATTTGCTTTCTTCAAATCATATTAAACGTCAGAAAATACTTATCGAAAATGTAGATGTGATATGACGCTAGTTTGAACTTCTTTCCTTATTATTTCAAAATTTCCTAGCGTGTTTTTTGGATAAATTTATTTTTTTCTAATTAAATGATTTTGTATTACCTACCCACACACATGAAAAATTCCAAATCCAACTCCTGCAAAAAACCCTCGATTATTTTATACAACCAGTCGACTAACGCGCGACTTGAAAAGGATGTAAGAATATTTGTCATAAAAGTATAAATGATAAAGTCCTCCGAGTTCAAATCGTTATAGAAAATAAAATACATAGTCTGCACAACTACTTGTGCAACCAATATAAACACAAGTCAACTTCCCCAAGAGTTCGATTATCAACTCGACTGTAAAAATACGATTCCGTGTCTCGAGTTGGCTGAAAATTGAGTTTTCAGATAAAACCACAATAAATAATAATTTCCTAGAACATCGAACTTTATATGTCAAGAACACAGTATACGTATACACATTTAAAATAACAATTTCATTATTCGCATTGTTAGTGTTTCATCCCCTTGCTAAGGAAGACTCATCCCCCAGTAATATTAAAAAACAAGTCATTAAAACCCGGATTTTAGTGAGCTACGCCTTGAATAAGAATACAGCCTGAATGTAAAGACTACAACAAATTTCTGTGTAAGGGGATAAAAGTTTCCTTGTAAACATTGTTTTCTGAGCCTTTCATTATATCTCGGCGGATGATTAAGCATGTAATTTTACCACGCTCAACAACAGTAGATGGTTTCTTCAAATTTCTGAAAATCGATAGCAAATAAAACATTTTAGAATAAAAGTAAGCAAACTTCACGACCGACAGCCGCTATAGCAACCCTAGTGCACGTCTTTAGAGTTCATCAAAGTAATGGAAATTATATTATCTAGGGAGGACAAAATGTAATTTTCTTAAGAACTTGGCGATTTGCCGTAAACTGAAATTTTAAATCTCGGCAAACTAAAATCCTCATAATATTTAATCAATCAAATCTCGTGAGACTTTATTCGATAATACTTCGTGATGCATTACCAAAATCTTATTAGTAATTTAATTTCAGCGAAACGAGAGATTGCATCCCATTTGGGAATAATCAGACAAGTCGACTTTTCGCTTGATTGAACGACGCGATGGCTTTTCTCCTACAAATTCGTATTACATAAGACAACATCGTAATAGTCAACTCCCCTTTTACTATACGTAATAGTTCTCTTTAAAGTTGGGTATGTAGTATGTCTCCTGCAGAGGGAAGCAAATGCTGAAATGTTTATAAATTAAAATTATTTTCTTGTCATTTTTTTATTTCTTGCTTGAAGATTGCTTTAAATTGAGCTATCTATTCAATTTCTTTAAGTACTTACCTGAAACATTGTTACACTTTACCAGCAAGATTAAGACTATTGAAGAATTGATTGAAAAATGTATCAGTTCAAGTTTACTTTTGGATATTTCTTGCACGGAGGTATCTCTTTGGCACCGTACTATATAACCTTTTCGAAATGTTACTTGTTTCATAAGCATGAACATTGAACAATGCCCGAAAACGCAATATTTTGAAAACTTAGGTACATACATATGTATTTTATTCTCGTGCTAAACGTTAAAGTTAGGTGTACTTTAATTCTTAAAAGTTACTTCACTAATAGCAATGAAAATTGAAAATCAAGCTGTGGCTGAATTGTATCAAGCGTTTTTAACTCGACAGTCTCTTTATTGTTAATAAAATTAAAGCGATTGCCAGCGTTCCGTTTTGCGGTAATAAATCAAAAACTATTGCAACTTCCACTTACTAAGGAAGTAAAATACGATTCGAAAGTTACTCCTACGGGCTTAAAAAAATTCAAACGCCATTGTCACGACAGGGGGTCCTTTTTATGTGCGAATCTACCCTTCGGAAGTAGTAACCAGTAGACTGTTAAGTTCCGCTGCAATTCTTGAATTGTCAACAACAGGCGGTCGTACGCGTGGCTATTTACAATTTACACCAGCACGTGCAGTTAATGGAACAGAACGTGGTTCTAAGATTTCACTAATAAATTGTACGTGAAATATTTCTATGATGAAAGCAATGTTCACGCGTATTTACAAGTGTAATTCATCGATGACTTTTTATTGCAACTGTTCTTAATGCATTATGATATGATATGTCTGACGAAGTTGTGTAAACTTTAGTGTATGGCGAATCGATTTTGGATTAAGCAGATGCGCTTTTAGTGGGGGGATTAATCTTCGAAAGCAGCGCCGCCGTCGATCGCTCAAATCTAAAGCTTATGCATAGATGCATGCTGAATATATTGCACTATACAGTACACTACCTGAAATTCAATTTACAATCTTGAAAGCTTACGTGTGTATTAGGGGGGACTCAAAATATCGGAAGCCGGCTTATTATAAAATCCACAAAAAAGCTCTATTATAATTTAAAAATTGTAATCACATCAATCGTTGACTTAATAAAATTGTCAAGAACTGAAAATGACCCTTACCTGTTATGATTTTGTAATGTTGCAGTCATTGTTTCATAAGAAACAACCCAGTGTTTCATTTAGGTACATGTTAAATGATCCTTTTAAAACCTCGGAACCATCAGTGAGGGGTAAAGTATTCTTTTCCTCTAACAAAATAAACTTTAACCCTATAATTCCATAATGGATTAAGAATTTCCGATTTTATATTTTACAATTAAATTAGTCTCTTACTTTTCAAAACTTTGTGAGGATAATTTTTAACGAAACTTTGTAATCTAAATTAATTTAGTTCAAAAAGTATTTTGTTTTTTAATAACACAATTTCAAAACGGATTTTGGTAAGGATTGAAAACTAATCATTTTATCCGCGTTCCTCACCTTGTACGCTGTTCTGGTCTGGGCAACAATTTGAGGGTTGTCTGCACGAAGCAAATATCCTGCAGTAGTTGCAATAGCCATTTTTCTGATAGATACACTAAAAAGAACAGGAATATGAAATCACGTTCTGCTCAGTTGCTTATTTAAAAAAAAATATATAAAAAGCTATTACAGTATTACTTAAAACACTTACAACAAAGCCTTAATGAAAAGGGTATAATGCCGGTGTTTATGAATGACACCCCGCTGGCAAACCCTTTCAGTAGATACAATGACCTTTGTTAATGTGTGATTGGAGTTTCAAAGCACACATTGTGGCTTAACGGGTAAATGGGTCTTATAATCATAATAGCGAGTAGGCCAGAACTAAAACATAATAATATGCAAACATCTGGAATTCGCACAGTGAAGTTAACGAGTCGATTATATTCTCCTTTTTCATTAAGTCAAAATGTAAATGACAGATACGAAAATGTTTCTGTTCCTAATTTAGATCACCAAGTCGGCAGAAATCGTTTGAACTTGAACAAATTAAATGGAATGTAAATAGTGATGGTGTTGTTGAACTTTTGCTTAAAAATCTTACGCATTAGCAGAAGTCAATGATGAGCAATACGACATTTGCAGAATTCAGTATACAAAGTGTGAAATGCAATTTCCGGTCGTAAAGCGTCTTTATGCGCTTTAGTAGTGTAACATTTAATTTCGTTACGTGCCGAAAACCTACAATTTTGCTTTCATTGTGTCGGTTAACAACATCAAACGTTTTCTAAATGTCAAAAATATACAGATGGTTTTTATGCAAAAATGTAATTTAGGTAAGAAGAATCGAGACGGAAATTTGCTTCAGGAGAATAAATAAAATGCTTATTAAAAAAAAGGTTGGAAAAGTTTTTCATTTTATATGCAGATGATACTCAATAAGCTTTGCTTAAAGTTGCAAACTGCGATTAATACATTTGCATACTTTTTTGTAACAACGCCGTTAAAGAGAGGTGAAATTTAATTAAAGCGACGTCGTTTGGAAGGATGTCATATACTCTTACAAATTTGAATCACAACACTCGTATAACAATTGAGGGCAGGACTGAATTTTTCCTGACAGTAAATTCTATGAGGGTACATTTTTATGTAATCTACCTAAGTTTGAAAGAAAAGGAATTGAAGGAAACACAAAATTTGACAGACTTATTCCACTATTTCTGCAATAAACAGATCTTCAAAATAGCCACTGTCTGGTAATCATCGGAAGCATATCTTTGGAATTGTAAGTGTTTTCTTAACTTGGGGAAAAGATAGTAGTCGTAGGGTGCTAAAT